TGATATTTTAATATTTATGAAAAACTAATTGAAAAGAGAAATGTTGCATTATATAAATTGTGCACACAAATAACCTCAGTAGTGCAAGCTATATGTGTTTTTTTTCATAATTTTTTTTTTTTTTTTTAAAGAAAGTCACTAGACAGTATATTTTGTCTTCTACAGGTATTCAAGCCATTGGCATTTATCCCACTGAACTAGTGGTGGTTTACCAGTACTTTAAAAAGTTGCTCCCTAGCACTCAGAGATGTGGTTAAAATGTCTTTAATCGAGCAAAGAAAAAGTACTAATAAAAATTTAATAAATTGGGCCAAAAATTAGAACTGAATATTAAAGATGACCAGGAAAGATAGGACTGATTAAAAAGATTGTTGGTAAAATCCTTGGATGGCCCACCCAATGCATTAGATCTGAAAGTAATATGAATACATTAATAATGAATTTTATAAACTGTTTTATTTGAAAATATAAATTCCATTGTAGCTTTTAATTTTTAAGAATTTTAAGATTTCTAATATTGAAAATTTTACTGTTGTTAAATGTGGGTATGTAAACCTTTAGTCTAATTTGGAGCAATGCTTGCTATTGCCAACAACTTTCCTACTTCTCTAAACCTGATCTCAGAAATAAACTTGTTTTTTGAAAGAATATGAAGAAACAATCTAAGTAGTGTTTAGATAATCCAGGCTAGCCAACAGAAATTCTTATTAATTCATGTGTAGACCAAAGTGTTTCTTTGTGATGGGAATTATAAATTTCATTTTTAGTTTGTTTTTTCTCCCCAATGTGGAAGTGCTTAAAATAGGGGTTGGCAAACATTTTCTGTAAAAATCTAGATAGTAAATATTTTAGACTTTGAAGGCCATTTGGTCTCTGTCACAGTTACTCAGCTGTGCTGTTGTAACACAAAAGCAGCCGTAGATAATGTATAAATGAGTAGTCCTGGCTGTGTTCCAATAAAACTTCCTGTACAAAAACAGGCACCAGGCTGGATATTGCTTGAAGGCCACAGTTTGGCTTAAACTATAAGAAGAGTAAGAAGAAATAGTGGCCAGTTTGTATAAATTCTGTAAAGGGCTTTTGGAATGGATCCGTTCAAAGAATTTAGAGGTGAGTTTCAGTCACATTTTTTAAAATACTTAAAATTTAAGACATGATAGTTTGAGTTATACAGGAACAAACCTTATAAGAAAAAAATTTGGGATTGTTTTTTCATTGGTCAGCAATCACCATCACCCTAGAATAACTTAGTTGATGTTCAGGAGGGTAAGACATCTGGGAAGATAAGAGATTAACTAGTATTGGCTATTCCTAAATATTTGGCCTTTGTAGTGGTATAAGGTTGTTAAAGTTTGGATCTGATATGTCTCCCAAAGCTCCTGAATTGAAGACTTGGTCCTGGACTCCATGCAACAGTGTTCTTAGGTTTGGGAAAGTGACTGGATCATGAGGGTTCAAACCTCATCAGTGGATGAATGCATTGATGGATTCATAATGTGATGGCATTATTGAGAGGTAGTGGAGCTTCAGAGGAGGAAAGTCACTGGGGGAATTCTCAAGAATTTTGTCCTTGTCCACTTGCACGCTATTTCCCAGCTGCTGTGAGGTTATCAAGTCTGCTCTACCACCTGCTCCCTGCCTTGTTTTGCCTTACTATAGGTCCAGAAACAATGCATCCAGCTGAACCTGGGCTGAATTCTCTCAAACCATGACCCAAAATAAATCTTTTTACCTTTTATAAGCATTTTTCTTGGGTATTTTTTCACACAATGATAATCTCACATAGGTTTTATAATCTATTTAGTAATAAAATGAAAGTGGGCAAAGCAAATAAGTTTAGTTAGGGACTATGAAATAGATATTCTGTTTCAGTGGAACTAATTCCAATAATTAAAACTACAGAACATTCATTTTGTAAGAAAAAAAATTCATTCTGATAGTACAAATGAAATCCAGAGTCAGATCTCCCAAAATACTTGTTGTAGCAACACGAATAACATGTAAATACATAAACACAAACCATAGTCATCACCCTCCTGTTGATGGGTTTCTAATGTGATATATCCTCTTGGATTTCTTTTTGCATGAAAATTGTAAGGGAACAACATCCATATGTGGTAATGTGATCTATATGCAATATCATGTTTTTTTTTTTTATATTTAATGAAACTTAAATTCTGTTATTAGTTTCTTATTGAGACTCAAGTTTAACCTGTAATTAACCTCTGTGACTTGACACAGGCACAAGGCACAATCTAAAACCAACTTAAGAAGGAATTACAAGTATTTCTTGGCAAGATATTTTCTTTAAAGTTATTTGAAAGGGGCAATTAAACAACTTTTTTTTCCTGAAAAGGAAAAATTAAAATAATAGTTTAACATTGCTTGGACTGGATTCCCAGTCCTGTAGCCTGCAGGTAGAGTGCTTGCCTTCCATGTATGAGGCCCTGGATTTAATCCCCAGCATTGCAAAATATATAATAATAACTTTGCTTTTAGGTTGGAGCACTTTGATAACTTAAATGGCTTTATACTGACAATTTTGGCTTAAATATTACAAATCTTGATCCCAGAACAAGAGATACTAAATTTTTATTACTATCTGCTTTACTGAAATGTCCTACTTAACATTTATAAAAACCATTCTGAAGTTTTAAGCTAATAATATGAGATGAAAGTAGGACTAAAAAACAACTTTTAGGTGGTATTTAAAGCAAACATAAGATAACTATATTATTTGTCTTAGATGAGTAATGGAATATTTACCATGTGAATAAGAAGTAATAAACTCTGTCTTCATAAAGACATGTGAACCTGCTTTGTGTAGTAGTCAGAGTTATATAGCAACTCTTAACTAGTAATATAGTCTGTTCTTGGTCTTCACCTTCAAAATTAGTAGATACCTTTTTTTTTTTTTTTTCTCCCACTCAATGCATATCATGTGTCAAACATGATGCTAAGTGCTTACAACAGTGATCATTCTACACGTTGGGTAATTGAAACTTAGCAGAGTTAAATGCCTTACAAGAGATAGCACTAGTGAGTAATGGGAATCTTAATTCAACTGGTTTTTGTACTTAATACAGAAAGTATGATCTCATGGTGGGGCATCAGAAGTCCCACAGAGAGATACTTAGGTCTAAGACAATTCCCAGAGCTGTCCTGTGGGCCATTTTCACTGAAATGCTTTATTCTTGGGCCCTATTTTCTGATTGTGGTTCAATAGATCTGTACTAGGACAAAAAGGAATAGTTGCTAATAGCAAAAGAAAGCATGGTAGAGTTATTAAAAGACCTAGCTAGCATGTGTGTATGCTGATGTGTCTCTACCCCATAGAATCCTTAAGACAGAATCACACCTATCTTTCTGGGCTGTGACAAAACTAGACTGCATTTAAAACACTTTGTATGATTTCTAGAACCTAACAGTCAACAGCTTTTATTCATAGTATTCGAAAGTCAATGTGGATAGGTTTCAAATTTGGGTCTTGTCACTTTCATTTTTCAGTCTGTCTCACTGGTAACCATATCCTCTACAAGAAACTTGAGTATATAAATCATGAAGAACTTTGGTTATGTGAAAAGTATGTATAAATTTAACACTATTTTGGGCCAGGGTTGTGGCTCAGTGGTAGAACACTTGCTTAGCATGTGTGAGGCACTGGGTTTGAACCACATAAAAAAATAAACAACTTTTTTAAAAAAGGTCCATCTACAACTAAAAAAAAAATTAAATGAAAACTTAACACTATTTTAACAAATATGCTAGAGAATTAAATGTGCTCCTAGAGCAGGCACATCTTTGACCAGGAATTTGAACATTCTGAAGATTTTTACTATAGAAAAGAATCTATTCATTCTGAACTTCTATACTCACTACCTCATTTCATAGATTTATTTCTAATCATTTTAATGTTTTTTTTTTTTTAATTTGGGCTATTAGTCTCAGTTTTTAAGTCATGAGCAAATTGGTTAAATTGCTTTCAGTTTACATGTAACTGAAAAAACTTATGTCAAAGCCATCTATCTGTCTTGATACTGATCCATTAAACAGCATAGTGCTCTCATTCAAGCAGCAACAAATGCATTTAATTGCAAAATATCTAGTTTTTAAATACCATCTTCTTTATAGGGATTATTATTTGTGTAAAATTTGGTCAGATGCTTCTTTTTTTTTTTTTGGTTTGCAATCCTAGGGATTGAATTGAACCTCAGGGCATTGACATACTAGGCAAATACTGTACCTCTGAGCTATATCCCAGCCCTAATCAAATGCTTTGATGTGATTTTCCTTATTCTGTATAGTAAGAACTTAGTAATTACAAAGCTTGGACGGTCTTTGTGAATTGATACTGCCTCCTAGTGATCATGTGTTCAACTTCAAAAATAGATTTTTGGAATTTTTGTGAGGGACATTTGTCAAGTCATTAATATATGCTGGGTATTGTGCTTGACATTGTGTATGTACTAGTGAACAAAATTTAAAAAAATATTGTCTTTGTGAAGCTTTATCTGACACCTGAACCATAAAGCAACTACAAGTGGTCTTTTTTAAAGTGGGTACAATTCATATCAATCATTTCAATTCATATCATCATTTTTAATTATTATTTAAGATTGCTAGGTCTGTGTAAATTGCATAACTCTAAGGATAAAAAGTAAAATAGAATTTCAACTGAGTTTTCTACAATTAGTTAACAGGATACCATCTGCTGCCTTTTGGCATCACTTAGGGGATGGAGGAGTTGAGAACTGTTTTTCAAGACAAAGTTTAAATAGGAAGAGAGGTTTTAGCCTTAAGAACTTTAAAAACCCAATGTTGGTGTTAAAATTTTTGTAGGGTTTTTTGTTTGCTTGCTTATTTTTTGGTACAGGAGATTGAACCCAGTGGTGCTTAACCACTGAGCCAGTCCCCAGCTCTTTTTATTTTTCATTTTGAGACAGGTCTTGCTAAATTGCTTAGGACTTCCCTAAATGGCTGAAGCTGGTTTTGAACTTGTAATCCTTCTGCCTTATCCTCTGGAGCCACTGGGATTACAGGTATGTGCCAGTGCACCTGGCTTTTTGTAGGTTTTTTTTTTTTTTTTTTGGTATATTCCATCCCTTCTTTTTTTGTACATTTTAAAAATTCTTGTATTTTATAGAGTATTACTTGCTAGTAACACAGATCAAGTATTCTTACAATGCCATTGAAATCCCATTCCATTAGGTATATTCCATTGTTCTTTTAACTGCATGATGGGACTTCTTCCCTATTCTTAGGGTAATGCTCTGCTTCATTATACTGTAATTATTTTTATTGTTTTTCCCCCACATATACTGGTGTTACAAATACTATATAATCAAAAATTATAAAGTTTTTATTACATTTGAAATATATTGAAAAACAATAATCAGGAATGGGGTGCGGAAGAATTAGACATCTTTGAGGAGATAACATTCTCATGTATTAATAAGTGTGTGTGTGTGTGTGTGTGTGTGTGTGTGTGTGTGTGTGTGTGTTTTGGGGTGGGGAACAGGAAAGGAGATAATGTGTTTATCTGGAAATATGCACAAGATAGATATATTTTACTTAATTTTTCTCAGATCAAGAAAATTATAGATTATAATATATTGCTCTCTACAAAGAGGAAAACTCCTGAAATGATACAAGTTGCCAGAGAATGCTGCCTTAGGGCTTATATAACACTTTAAAGTAAATGACCTGATAGAGGTTACAATTAGAGTTAAAAATTTTTAAATTATTCATTTTACTCACAGTAATTTGTCAAAATTAATAATAGCCAACATTTATCCTAATGTTGAACAATGGACTCCACATTATTTATTGTGACCTAGGAAAAATACTCAGAATTTTAATTAAGAGTATTTCCTGGTCAAGTTCTTTGATGGAGGAGGGGGAACCCTAGGAAAATTCTGAATAAGTAGAAATTTATTGGAATTGAAAGTCTCTTTCCCTTGACCAAAGGTCATGTGACATATTGATCATTATATTTAAAAAAGGGGAAAAAAAGTACAGAGAAAAACACCTAGAGTCAAAGTGGTTAGTTAGAACAATGAAAATATTAGATTGCTTTATTGAGAAAAGATAAATGGGAAATGATAATATGTTAGAAGTCTGGAAAAAAACTTCTTTGTTTCATTTTGTACATTAAAACACAATATCCTAGGAAAATTGGAGGATAATTTAGTGCCAATGAAATTCTAAATTAAAGAATAAACAGAAGCAATTCACCAGTAATACTTCATTTCCTTTGTATTTACTACATGACAGCTGTATCAGTAAAGTAGGATTTGAAGGTGATATATAAAAGTGTCCAATGCATGGCAGGGATGCAAGTGCTTCTATGTGTGGAGATGTGGAAGAACATGAAGGTGTCTTCATGAAAAGGAATGGACTTGTGCTGGGCCCTTAAGGATAGTAAGGATTTTCATAGATGGTTAGGAAAACTTTTCAAATTGTTGAACATAAAGGCAGGAATGAGCAAGAACATGGCTGAGTAATAAAAAGGAAACTGACCTACCTGTACAGTAAAGGCTCAGATCCTATATGGTCCAAAAAAGACTTGTCCTTGACTAGCTCCTTAGAGGCAGACTGAGCAATTGGAATGTCCAGTCTGATAAGAGTGCTTTTGTATGCCTAAGCCCTGGGCCATGTGGTATCATTTTAGTCTCTGGGAGACTAGAGATTCAGAAGTCCTGTGGGAGCTGCACATGCATGTTACTCAACCAGATAAAAACCCAGGAGAACAGGAAGGCTCAAGTGAGCACCTCTAGGGAAGCAATACTTTGCATGTGTTGTCAAATACTTTTACTAGGAGAATTAGTTGCTGTCTGTAGCCCCACTAAAGTCAACAACTGGTGCTTGTGCTTGGTTTCTCCTTGATTTCATCCTATGTACCTTTTCCCTTTGCTGATTTTCATCTGTACCCTTTTGCTTCAATACATGGTAATCACGAGTACGGCAGCATTTCTGAGCCCTGTGAATTCTGGTGAATCTTTAACTTCTAGATGGTTTTGAAGACCCCCATCTCACTAAATTTTTCACTGAAATTTTTGAAACAAGGGAAAAGATTACCTTAAATATTAGGACGAAGTTTATGCTTCATTCACAGAGTAACAAAGTAGGGAGATTAAAAATGCAAGTTGTGTTAAAGGAACATGGATTCAGTGGCATTGAACAGAACTATTAGCCTGAATGAAAAAATGATTTTAAGTGAGGAGACTACTGCAGTAATTACCTGGCCATTTGACAGATTTTATGTCAGATTTTCAGATGTGACACAGGCTGGAAATATAGGGTTTCAAAAATATGCGTATAAGCTTAAAAAAAGGAAATTATAATATTTTGGAATGGTGATTCTCTGTTCTAAGATTGCAAAAGAAGGAAAACCACTATTAGCCTGCAATAATTTGTTCAGTAATGAGAAGCACCAAATGCCAACACTGTGCTAAGATCTGAGAACTTAGGGAGATATTTAGGGCTTTAAGATCTACCATAGGCTGCAGTGATTGGTGAGCAGGTTCATATAGCAATTTTAACAGTGATAATGAATGTATTATTATCAGTATAGGCATATATGCTTATAGTTTAGGGCACGTGGTGAAAGACAAAAATATTTCAGTCTGACAGCAGTATCCAAATTACAGATTAGAGAACTAAAGACCTGTCATACCCAAAGCAATGATCTGGAAATGCCTTCCCTAACTGCCAACAGATAAGTAATGAAAATTGAATCAATAGCTTTAAGTGAGTCTATGCATCTTAATGCCTTTCAAGCTACATGTCTTTCTTACTGCCAAAATAAATAATCTAAAAATCATGTTGAATCAGTGTAAAAAAAAAAAGAAGTGCAATTGCCATGGGGGATTAAATGTCCAGGAGCACATTATATTCACTTTGTACAGCTATTGGATGTAATAATAGAATCACGAGCCATGAACTGAATTCTAAGTGGCTGCTATGGAGCTCTCTAGAGGCAGAATTTGCTGCAGCTCTAACTGGCTCCTCAGCCCAAATAGCATCTTTGAGAAAGCTTTAATTTTAGCTTTCCAGAAATATTCATATGACATGTTTAGGGTCTCCAGTATTATTACCATGAAGTTGGAACTTTACCCAAATTATAAAGTACTGGTCCCTGTCAAGTTGAAATGATGTTAATATTTTTCATTTATGTTTACACTATTTAAGAGATCATAACTAACAATCTCAGGATAATTTAATTTTCAAATCATGAATGAGTTTTTATATAACAAAGATAAACTGCCACATTGTATTATATTTATTCATTATATTATATTAGATTTTTTCATTGCTTAGAAGTCAAATTTAATGTTCTTTCCAGTCATTTATTCCTCAAGTGCTTGAATTTTACACCTTTTTTCTTCTGTAACAGAATCTTTTCCCAAACAACCAACATTTTAATGGAAGAAATTGAGTTCTGCAATTGCTAATGTGGATTTTTCTCCTGTCCCATTTTCTAATAAGAAGGAAAATTTCAAGCCTGGAATTTTGCTTGGTAATTGATAAGTAAAGCCTTCTTTTAACACTCTGCATTTTTCACATGTATACTAGTATTAGTATCTAAATTACATTAAAATCTCAATAATTTGGTATCAATTGACTTGGAATTTGTGACACTTGGGCTAGATAGTGTATTTACTTGTATCACTGAAAGAGATGAGTTACTAAAATGAAAAGGGTAAGTTTAAAATAACCACAGAAATAAGCCTTTAAT